TATATATAAAATAAGTGGCCTATAACCATTCCAGGAGCCATCAACAGTTATGAGGCAGATCAGTTAGCGGTATTGAAGTCATGTAGAAAGGGGTTTAAAACCCAACTCTCCCATCTGTTGACTGACCTGGGGCTTTGGGCAAGTTTATTTAATTTTTCCACACTTATCTATAAAATATAAATCATTTCACCTCCTTTCTGTAAAGGTTAAGTGAAGTAATTTGTATAGTGTTTAGCCTAGCACTCAGCATATAGAGAGTGGTAAATAAATGTTATTATTACTATTACTTTATCCTACATAAGACGAGGTTACTAGTGAATAAACAGTTGCATGAATAGTTTGTGGGTGCTGTGGAAGAGCTCTAACTCTATTCAGGAGAAGGAAAGAGTGGTCAGAGGGAATTCCCAGGTGGTCTGATGTGCAGGGTCATGAGAACGGTTCAGTAGTCAGGAAAAAGGAGCTGCTTTCAGAAGGGGAGGATGAGAGGGTTGGAATTTGTCGAGCTTGAGGCAGCTGTTGGTGGTGCATCCCAAAATAGAAAGGTCAGCCAGGTGTCCTCCCTTCCCCTCTGTGTCCTTTGCCCTGTCCCTTAGTGTCTGCAGAGCCACCTCCCTACCAGTGCTCCCAGTTGCCTTCCAGAGTTAACTGCTGCTCCCAGCTGGGCTACAGCCATGTGAAGTGTGAGGATCTGTGTGTACCTGTGGTCTCCGGGGACCATCAGCACATTGCTCCTGGGACACGCAGTCCCTTCAGCCATAGCTCGTCTGCAGCAGGTGGGAAGGAACTGCCTTCTGCCTCACTTTGTCTTCATAAGCTCTCAGGCAGCTTGGTGCTGACCAGTGTTGATTTAAACCTAATGGGTTCAGGTAGCCCTGACTTAAGTGTGAGAACGCTGTAACGTGCTCTGTGGACATGCTGTTATTGTTGCGTTGAGCCGTAATATTCATACAGTAAAGTAAGCCAGGCAAGGCACTTTTATGGGTGTGTGTGTACCTGCAAACGCCCCACAGGAAGGTGCATGTTGGAAGACCCTCTAGTCTCACTTCCAGTCAGGATCCATCCCTGGAGATAGTTTTGCCTGTAAGTGACCACCATATCCAGTGTCATCCTGTCTGGCTCCTTCCCCATTAGCACTTCTGGGAGCCTCGCCCATGTTGCTATATGTGCCCGTCATTGTTCTTTTCTCCCAGCTGACTGTCACTAGAGTGCAGTTTACCCTTCCCATGATCCAGGAGCAATGGGGAGTCTTCTGCTCTAGGATCTTTATGAACAGAGTTGCTGTGGAGGTGGAAGTGTGCTCTCATACATCCAGGGTACCTTCCCAGGAGTGGAAGAGCCAGTCATGGGGCATGCTGAGGAGGGGGATGGCAGAGCTGCCTCACAGCTGTGGTGG